TGGGCATTCCTAAGCCTAAATGAACGCGATAATTGTCGGCATGGCAACGTCTTTGGAAAGCGGATTGTTGATAGCGCACAAAACCAGACAGCGTCCCGACCAGGGTGTAAGATAGACAGGTGGGGAAACGGCCCATAGAAACCTACCGCAGCGCCGCGACCGGATTGTGTACTCGTCTGCTTGCGGGTGGCTTGCGGGTACCCCTGATTTGCGACAGATGGCGCTGTGGCGAGAAGAAAAAAATTGGAATCGAATTTGCATGGAACTTTATGGGAGAGTGCGGAAAATAAACTGAGAGCACGACAGTCCTCTATTGAAAATCCACGAGAAACCTTCTCCGTCAGTTTAACCGGTCGCCAGCGTTCGCCCACTTGGAGTGAGAGTTCGCGGTGCTCCAGATAGATGGCGCCACAGAAAAAGAGAAAACCGATGGGGACACAATTTGGTCGCTCATTTGGCTCTCGTTTCACCACCTGTCTATCTTACACCCTGGTCGCGACAGACTTTTTTCTAAATCATCCAAGCATCGCGAGGAGAGCGCTGGAAGTGTAATTCTACGGTTCACGCGCGCTGGCCTTCCTCTTATAAAAGATTTGAAGTAAAAAAATCATAATAAGGCTTTAACGAACGCGCGTGCAAGGCAAAATTTGTTTTATACTTTTTTGCTTTAGAACGGTTACTACTGCAGACGCCAGCACGTGCGACGCGTGCAACTACAGTCGTAGCATGCACCTCGGTGCTTGTATAATTTAGAGAAAAGGTCTGTTGGGACGCCGTCTGCTTTTGTGTGTTATCAACAATCCGCTTTCCAAAGACGTTGCTATGCCGACAATTATCGCGTTCATTTTGGCTTAGGAATGCCCAGAATCGAAAACACTATCTAAAAAATACGGCGATGTCATTGCCCATGCTTTCCGGTTTAAGTCAGGTAAGGCAAAGCGAAAGCCCCCTGCATCATTCGTTGCTGACTAACGCGCCCGATATTGCAACCACAACGACATATTAGTTCCAAAGCGACCTGCGCTCGCTCACTGGGGCACCGCCATGTTTCCCCGCATCCCTACCGAGCCCAGTCACGTGATCTCAAAATCCCTCTCCTAGGTACTGCGGCTAACTTTAGCCGCGGTTAGCGCTTCGAGCAAACGGGCCCTGATAACGGGTTTGAAGCTCAAACACTTCTGCTTTATGACTTCGCGTGGAAAATTATTTTCATTGAACTTGGTGAGTGTAAAGTCGCAAGGCATGTGGCAGTGGCTTTATGGGGCTATATGTGGTGACTGTTGTACTAGCAGCGGCTCTGCGTCCCTCCAAATAGTTTGTCTTGTGCTACCATTCCTTATAAGAAAAACGGTTGACTCCGGAATGTTTTTTTCTTCAAATGTGCGTTTGAACGTGATATTATCAATACTATATCGAACGGGGTGCTCGGCGACAGAGCGCACCCTGGCAGAGTACATAAAACCGAGGAAAATTCTCCTATCGTCCAGAGACGATTCATTCGCTTGTGCATAAAGGCTAAGCACCGGGAAGGTTAGAAACGCACAAGTAGGTAATCGCGGTCCGTGTTTATGAAGGGGATCAAAAAATTTCAGCACTCATGCCCGGGAGGAGTTATAAAAACTACTGCCACATTCAAGCTAAAAGAAAATGACTGAGCGATAGTTTCGCAAGAGGCACAGTGAGTGAAAACCCCATTATACATGTGACAGTACCTTAAGGATGTTCCGAGATTTAAGAAACTTGATTTTTAAGCTCTTAATATGTGAATTTCAAGTCGACTTCCAATAAAAAAACAAGGCCCAAGAACTTTACTTTTTTACAACAAACTGACGTCTCGCTGTCGTCGAAGAGTCGTTTTTGTCAAAGCGCGTTCAACAAACACAGCACAAGAATAACACTTATGTGCGCATTTAGGAAACCGTACCTACGTGGTCCGCCTATTTCTATAACTTGGCAAGGGGCAAAACCAACAGCCCCAGAGATACCATCAGCGCGACAAAGAGAGTGACGTGACAAATTCTCGTATAAGCGTTGTTGTTCTACGCGTCCTGCGGAGTGAGGTCAGGCGTTTCGCTCTACCCTTCTGATTCGGTCAAAGCGGCCGTCGCGCTCCCTGACAGCCACACCAAGACGCAAAAGCAGGTGGGGATTCTTAACAAAGGGCGAGTTCGAAGGGGCATGAAAAACGCATCTACGCTTCCTCTGCACATTTGACTGAAAGTGAAGAGATTCTATGCCTCTTACCCTAAGCTTGGAATGTCACCTTTGTTTAGGGGGTGGGGGGAGGGGAAGTAGTGCCTGGGTTGATGCTTTCAAAGGCTTCAAATTAACTTGAATACAAGTCGTCTCTGCATGGATTTCACCTTAGTTCCCCCGGGTGTGAAGCGGGCGCAATACAACAGAGCCACGGTCGCTTCCGCTTTTTTGTATCGCTAGGATTTGGTAGTGCTCAATCACAATGCTACGCACGCACAAAGCTACGCTCGCTTTTGCATGCGCCGCCTAAAAATGATATCTATTGAGAAAAAGTCAGCACATCAGTCTCGCGAAGCGCTGGCTGGGTGGCAGCAGTTTCTGTAACGCCGAACCAGTCTCACGGTGCGTCCCGATGTAGGCATGTGTACATACGTGCGAGTACGACAATCCTACGCAATTGGCGTTTGCAAAGCGTGGTACAGCCGCGGAAAATATTCAGCCCACCTTCGGACTGATAAATCACAAAACACCCAAAATAAAATCAAAAGTTGCGACCACAATAAAGTTTGATATTTCTTTAGTCCTCATCAGCCGAACTGCAACGCACTCAGCTTAGTTCTGGGACTTGTTTGGCGACTATTGTTCGTAGCTGCCAGTTGACAGCCCAACTATTAGGAAGCGAGACCTAACTTTGGCACTTGTTTGGCGACTTTGGCCCGATAATTCCAGATTTCAGCCGAAGTACCAGGCAGTAAACCTAACTCTGGAGCTCGTTTGGCGATTTCGGACAAAAGAGGACAGTTAACAGCCGAACTACCAGGGAGTGAAGCCTAACTTTGGCACTTCTTTGTTTAATTAGGGCCAAGATACCCCTACCTCTTGCCAACGAAGGTCATATTTGGCTCTACTTTTGCTTCTTGTGGTTTTTAAAGGCCCATAAACTTTAAGAAATATGCAAAAAATTGTCCCAGAGCTCTGTGCTACATGGGGAGTATTATAGGGTTAATGCACGCCACCTGACGTAAATGCAGCATTTATTTTTTTGCTTCTATAGAGTGTTGTCTAAATGTTTGAGTGTAATGCTCGAAATGGAAATATATTCGAAGTGCTCACTGATGATGTTGGCCTGTTCCTTAAGACTTGCAGGACCCACTCTATTTCGACTCAAGGTTGGAACAGTGAATGCCCGGTAAGAGCCTTAGATTTTATGCACGCGGTCCCAGACTTCCGTCATATATACCGTGCCGTTATCAGAAGAAGCGTACCCTCTAAAATGTTTTCTCTTCGCTTGCCTTCGAATACCGTTCGCCTGTGCTCTATTTCTTTTAAATTCAATAAGATATTGTGGTGTAGGGTATTGCCTAAAAATGACCTACGCTTTGCTTTGTTAATTTCTAGCTGCTCGGCAGTCTTCGTTCCACCCCGGCTTTCGCAATTAAAGAAGATGGGTGGCCGTCATCGGTATGGCAAGTATTGCAGCTTCCAAGTTATCTCTTGTGAAATGGTCTGTTGCTTCATCAAACGAGAGTTGACGTAGAGATGAAAGAACTAACATAGATAATTGCTTAAAGCATGCTCAATTAGCTTTTCCAAACTTACACTGTAGTGAACGAGATTACAGTTACGCGAGAATGAATAAACTCTAAAATAAGGGGCGAGTATTCACTCCCACGTGGATTTGGAATGACCTTCCATGGAAGCAATGGTAATAATTATGGGTGACCAATGGATAGGCCTATAAAAGTAAACGTATAAGTGGTGCAACTAAAATATGTATCTTGATTTCTGTGGCGAAGACACAATAGCGAGGAAAGAAGAAACTATTCAACGAGAGCCCCTCTAGGATCTCCTCTGCGACTCCCCCACGAGATATTTTCAGCATTCAAATCTCCTAGAAGTAAAAACGTTGGAGGAATCTGAATAGCACGTTTTTCAAGTACTTTAATACTTAAATGATAACTGAGGGTAGATTCAATTTACAAGCTTTAATTATACAATCTGACAAAATATGGGCTGCCACCGACTCCAGAGAAGTGTGTAGGGAAACTTTAGTACGTAAAGTTGAATGTTTCACAAAAACTGCAATGCCTTCGGATGACTGGGCTGCTTGTATCAGCTCTTTGCGAAACACATGGAAATATTTAATTATGTTAATGTGGCTCTTCATTAGATGCGTTTCCTGCAAATAAAATAAAATTGGACAATGATCGTGTAGTAGCAGGCTTACATCGTCGTAGTAATACAGATGGCCTCTACAGTTTCATTCAAGGAAGAAAAACATTTGTGTTCTTAAATAAAAATCGGATCGATATATATATATATATATATATATATTGTGGGATTTCCCTTGCTGCTACCCGTCTCGGAGAATGACACAGCACACCAGTTCAACAACACGTAAACATTTAATGACCGCTATCGCCTGCGCCGCGATCCCGACCGCCCCCGCGCATCCGCTGCGACGGCCTTTTATCAGCGGCGGAGCGCCGCTCGCGTGGCCAGTTGCCCTTGGCCCCCTCGTGGTCAAGATGACCACTTATGATTGTCGGAGGGGCAGCCTGGGCCAACCGCTTGGAATCGCCAGGTTGCCCACAATATATATATATATATATATATATATATATATATATATATATAAACTGTGAGGGCGCTTCTGCGTAGCACTACCCACGGACATCGTCGTCGTCACTTTTGGCTGTGGGTGGCGCGATCGGCATCGTCAGCTGATTAGTGGCACCTTTTTTGAAACGTTCTGCAGCTATCAGACTCTGATAAAAAAACCGTCATCTGACCGACCTGTCTCTGTCTCACAACGTGGTGGAGGTGAGCCTTTAGACCCCGTACCTTCCCTTCGAGCTTCCGCTTAAAACCCTGGAGCTCCGAAACCGCACTCTGGCTACCATCACGGCGACGGCTGCTCAAACCCCCTCGATGTCTCAACCATCTACGACGACGACTACAGCCACCACGATGACTGAACAGCAATTGCAACCAAGTCCTACCACTCCTGGTTGGACGATTCGCAGCCGCCAAAGAGACCCTAAGGTTTTTGCTGGTCTTCGTGACGAAGATGTTGAGGACTGGCTCGACAGTTACGACCGCGTGAGCGTCTACAACAGATGGGACAATCCCACTAAACTCGCTAACGTGGTCTTCTACCTTACTGATGTTGCCAAAACGTGGTTTCTGAACCACGAAGAAGAAATTCCAGACTGGAACGCTTTTACCACGAAGCTAAAGGACATATTCGGCACTCCAACTAGCCGCAAAGAGAACGCGAAAAAGAAACTCGAGACTCGACGTCAAGGAGAAGAGACGTACACCTCCTACATTGAAGACGTCCTCGCGCTCTGCCGTCGCGTCAACTGCGAAATGCAAGAGAGTGAGCGCGTACGTAACCTCCTGAAGGGAATTGCGGAGCCGGCCTTCAATGTTTTTCTGGTCCGAAAGCCCGAATCGATAGCTGACATCACATCTGTTTGCCAACACCTCGATGAAATGCGGACCATCAGAGTTTCTTGCCCAGCTCAGAATCTCGGAGAACCAAAAGCGACAAATTCTGAACTCCGCACCCTCATTAGAGACATCGTTCGAGAAGAGCTCCGGGAGATGCTCAACGAAACACGCCGCGGCGCTGAACCGGCAGCAAGTTCTCCAGACTTGCGGTCCCTTGTCCGAGACGAGTTAGCAGCTCTACCTTCTGCAACTCTTCCTCTCCCCACGCCCGCACCACCAACCTACGCCGAGATTGCCGCTAGGATGCCTTCCCCTCAAGTGGCTTCGTTACAACAACTCCACACCCCACCCTCCTTGGCTGCATTTACTCCAGCCACCCTCACCCCGACGTACCAATCTTGGAGACCACCCAACCGCCCAGTATGTTATTACTGCGGCATTAGGGGTCACATTGCCCGCTACTGCAGGAAACGCAGAGATGACGACAGGTACGACAACTCTTATCATCCTCACTTTCGCCGAGATCAAGGGACCTACAATGTAGGTCGGAACAACTCCGGCCGCCAAGGAAGTATTTCCCCTCAGAGGTCGAGATTTGAAAGCCAAACATATCCTAGGCGTCGTTCCCCCTCTCCACTTCCACGCTCTGGGTCTCCGATGATTCCATCTACCCAAACCTACCCTAAATACCCAGCGGAAAACTAAAAAACGCAGTTCTTGGGGGGAGAACTGCGAACCAACGGAACCAGACAACTCCTCCAATCCCATCCAATTTGATTGACGTATGTGTAGAAGGTTTAAATGTTCTTGCTCTAGTTGATACCGGCGCCGCAATTTCAGTTATAAGCGAAGATGTCTGCAAAACCTTAAGAAAAGTCCGAACTCCCTTTCACGGTACTTGTTTACGAGGAGCGGGAACCAATTTGATATATCCCTCCGCATTGTGCACGGCGAGGGTGGTAATACAAGATACCTGCCATCACATAGAGTTTGTTGTTTTACCAAATTGTACACACTCACTTATCCTTGGCTGGGACTTCCTCTCACTTAACTCGGCAGTAATTGACTGTAGTCATCCGGAATTATTTTTGACCACTCTTGACGTCTGCAATACAGCTACTGATCACAGTGCGAAAATATCAGTTGAAACCGACTCGGTTATTTCTCCATTCACAACACACGTATTACCACTCGTATCGACAACCGCTTACACAACGGATGTCGTCGTACAACCATCGAGCACATTTCTCGCGAGAGGCATAGTTGTACCGCACGCACTTATCCGTTTCATCGATGGAAAAGCTCTCATAGCTGTCTCTAATGTTAGTACTGAGTCCGTTCTCATTCCACATGGTACAGTTGTCGTGACTGCGACACCACACTCACCCGTTTCTCTGTGTTCTATATCCGTCCCTCAAACCAAATCTTTGCTTACCCAGAACTGTAAAACATTGTCTCTGCATACAACAATTAGCCAAGATCTTGACGAATCAAAAAAACGTCAACTCCTATCTTTGCTAGAGCAGAACAGAAAAATATTCGACATCGTATCACCTGCCCTTGGTCAAACCCACACGACAGAGCATCGCATCCACATTGAAGATTCTGCTATTGTTCATCGTCGTCCGTACAGGGTTTCCCCATCAGAGCGTTCCATAATCGAGGACCATGTAACTGATATGCTGAAAAAGGGTGTAATTCGTCCTTCACGCAGTTCATTCTCGTCACCGGTAGTCCTGGTCAAAAAGAAGGATGGAGGCATTCGCTTTTGTATCGATTACCGCCAACTGAACAAAGTCACTCGTAAAGACCTTTACCCTATGCCACGCATTGACGACGCACTGGACTCCTTGCAGGGAGCTGAATATTTTTCATCTCTTGATTTACGGTCCGGTTATTGGCAGATCCCGGTTAATGAAGAGGACAAAGAAAAAACTGCGTTCGTCACACCGGATGGCTTATATGAGTTCAACGTCATGCCCTTCGGACTCTGCAACGCGCCAGCGACTTTCGAACGCATGATCGACAACATCCTTCGAGGCTTAAAATGGAAAACATGCCTATGTTACTTAGATGACATTATAATCTTTTCTTCCAACTTTGAGGAACACCTTGAACGGCTTTCCCAGGTCCTGTCCTGTTTATCTGCCGCCAACCTCCAGCTTAATACTAAGAAATGCACGTTTGCGGCAAAAACAATTAAGATCTTAGGGCATGTCATCAGCAAACACGGTATCAGACCTGACCCCGACAAAATAAAAGCGGTTTCAGACTTCCCTCGACCACAACGCCAAAAGGAATTGCGAAGCTTTCTAGGTCTGTCGTCGTACTTCCGTCGTTTTATTCGCGGCTTTGCAACCATTGCCGCTCCACTTAACAACCTTCTTAAGAACAATCCCACCTTTACCTGGTCTCCTGAGTGCGAATCTGCCTTCACATCCTTAAAAGCAGCCCTGACTTCCGATCCTGTCCTTCGACACTTCAACAACAACTCCGCCACCGTTCTCCACACAGACGCTAGCGGCTACGGCCTTGGAGCAATTCTTCTACAACCCGACGACTCGTGCGTAGAGCACGTCATTGCTTATGCGAGTCGATCTTTGAGCAAGCCAGAGCAAAATTATACAATAACAGAGAAGGAATGTCTTGCGGTGGTTTGGGCGATCGCAAAGTTTCGTCCTTACTTATACGGCCGTCATTTTTCAGTCGTCACTGATCATCATGCGCTCTGTTGGCTAGCCTCCCTAAAAAATCTTTCAGGTCGTCTCGGACGCTGGGCGTTGCGCCTGCAGGAATACGATTATACAATTGTTTATAAATCTGGCCGAAAACACCAAGATGCCGACGCCCTCTCACGATGCCCGCTACCTCAACCCTCGACAATTACGACTATATTAAATATTGAGACGAGTCCATCCCCGACAGAACGATTTGATGGAATAGGGATCGCCACCCAACAACGCCAAGACCCCCAGCTACGTAATATCATTGCCCAAATGGAAGGAACCTCACCTACGACAAACGCTCGCTCCCGACGCCAGCTCTTGCATTATCAGCTTCAAAATGATATTTTGTACCGTCGAAACTACTCGCCCCACGGACATCGTTGGCTTTTGGTTATTCCTCGTACTTTACATGCCTTGGTCCTTGAATCTCTGCACGACGATCCCACAGCCGGCCACTTAGGGCTCTTCAAAACTTACTGTCGTGTCAGAGAACGATATTTCTGGCCCGGAATGTACACCGCGGTGACAAAGTATGTATCTTCTTGTCTCGTATGCCAAAAACATAAGTCTCGCACATCTGCACCCACCGGCCAATTACTGCCACCCCGCTGCCCTTCACAACCTTTCGAGATCGTAGGAATTGACTTGTTTGGACCGCTACCACGCACAGTCAATGGAAAACGATGGGTTGTAACCGCTGTCGACCACCTTACACGATACGCAGAAACAGCGGCTCTTCCAACTGGCTCCGCCACCGAGGTTGCGGATTTTTTCGTCCACCAGCTACTCCTCCGACATGGAGCACCCCGCGTGCTGCTCAGCGACAGAGGTCGTACCTTCTTGTCACAAACAGTGCAAGAGGTCTTAGCTGCTTGTGCAGTCATCCACAAAACAACATCCGCTTACCACCCACAGACCAACGGGCTCACTGAACGCTTTCATCGTACCCTTGCGCACATGATCGCAACGTACGTATCATCAGATCATACCAACTGGGATGCAATTTTACCATTCGTAACATACGCATATAATACGGCCATTCAAAGTACAACTGGGTACTCGCCATTTGAGCTCGTCCACGCAAGACAACCGACATCACTGCTCGACACAGTACTCGAGTATACTCCAACTGAGCCCCATACAACTCTCCTCGATGACCTCGTATCCCGTGCTGAAGACTCCCGTCAACTTGCGCGACTTCGCACTGTTCAACACCAACAGGAACGGAAAACCCGACACGACTCCATCCACAAGAACGTCAGCTTTCAACCTGGAGACCTTGTTCTCGTCTCGTTGCCAACACGCAAGCCCGGCCTCTCTGAAAAGTTACTGCCTCATTACATCGGCCCCTACCGCGTCATCGCTCAAACAACTCCTGTCAACTTTCTCGTGGAACCAGTACAAACACCCACCGATCGCCGCTACCGCAGCCGCGAACAGATTCACGTCTCCCGACTGAAACCTTTCACTCCCCGCTCAACGGCACCCCTTCCTTCCCTCTGTGGCCAGGTGGCCACCTTTCCGCAACCGGGGGAAAACTGTGAGGGCGCTTCTGCGTAGCACTACCCACGGACATCGTCGTCGTCACTTTTGGCTGTGGGTGGCGCGATCGGCATCGTCAGCTGATTAGTGGCACCTTTTTTGAAACGTTCTGCAGCTATCAGACTCTGATAAAAAAACCGTCATCTGACCGACCTGTCTCTGTCTCACAATATATATATATATATATATATATATATATATATATATATATATATATAGGAAAGTAAACGTACCTCGAAGCTTTTCGTGGGGTTTTATTACGGAAAAAGTCTGGCTCAGGCCCAAACGTCGGCCTATATGTAATAAAACTCCACGAAATGCTTCGAGGTACGTTTATTTTCCTATGCACTTTTCGTCGTCCTACGAATACTATTTTCTCGTTCTCTCTCTCTCTCTCTCTCTCTCTCTCTCTCTCTCTATATATATATATATATATATATATATATATATATATATATATATATTATGTCACGAATGACAATTGATTAGATGAAGGACATGTAAGCAAGCTAAATATTCAATAGCTGTGCCCGAAACAAAATAAGGTCAATAACAGGCGCCGTAGGCGATTGTCGATTTCGGCGTAGTAGCAGGATCGATCGCTGGCGAACAACTGATTTCGTAGAGCCACGCGGAGCGCATTTTGTAGACGCATCGTTTTCGCGAACATTCGAACTCGAGTGTTCGACCTTCGAACATTCTACGCGAGATGCCTCTCGGACGTTGTAGAGACTATAATTGCAGCACATTAAAAAACGTTCCGCGGCACTCGGTAATCAAACCTGGTCTCTGCGTGCGAGTCAGGTGCGTTGCCACTCGGCCATGCAAGCAACATTACTCCCCCCCAAACACGCGTTAAAACATTCATCGTCCCAATGCAACACAAAACAAAAAAAAGAAAATAACGGTAAAATAAGTCATTGCTACAGAAAAAGTCCACAGGCCCATCGAGCGTACAATCGCTTGCGTTGAATGACGCGAACCACCTTGGGTCGCGGTTGACGTCGCGATGATACGTGCCTTCCGCCGGGCACCACTTCGTACTTGATATGTCCCTTAGATCATATGACGGGCTAGATGGTTACACATTACTTAAAAAAATTCACAATATTACACAGCACAATTAATTACACAACATTGCACAACATTGAGCAAATTAATTACACAATATTACACAACATTACACATTTCATTACACAATATTACTCAGGGCTTCTCCGTGCGTGTGTCTTTTACTCGTCCTCCCCTTTAGCGCTTCCTTTAACTGTTGATATCGCCCAGGCGTCGAAGCAGCTTGTATGGTCCAAAGTAGCGTTTTAAAAGCTTCTCGCTGAGGACACGATGTCAAATCGGTGTCCACACCTACACCCGGCCTCCAGTCTGGCAGTGAACATTAAGACGACGACGGTTGTAGCGGCCAGCGCCGACACGTCGTTGGTCTTGGATCCGAACTCGGGAAAACTGGCGGAATTATACTGCTCGTTGCGCAAGCCCTAGGCCGGTTTTCTCATCTTGCGGCCATGGCCGCGGCTGCGGCCAAGAGGGATTTTTATGTCACGTGACCAGCTCTATGGGGACAAGAAGTACTTAGTGTTCCCGCCTAATCGCTGAGAAATCCGTGTCGCTTCGAGCACAAAAGTCTAATTTCGCTAGTAGAACCTGACCGCAGAGGCTTTCAACTGAAGTCCTATTAACCGCCCCATCATAAGTTAGGAGCGGCAGGTAAAGTTACGGCAAGGCAAGGTAAATATGAGCCAAAATGAAGGCAAAGTCACGCGTGATAAAAGCGGTGCAGTATAGTTATATACCTCCAACAGCTTGGGCGAGACTCGCCTTTTGCTATAGTCAAGAGGTAGGAGCGCCGGGACTTGTCGTGGCGTGAAACTTCCAAGTTGAAATCGCGCCAACACCTTTTTTTATATTTTGCGCATGTGTGTTATTTTTTAACCGTGGTCATTTTTATAAATCGTCCAAATCATCCACTTGCATTACGGCGCCTTACACCGTTTTTACTTTGTCCCACCTTTTGAATCGACACACCGGACGAAAAAAAAAACATGATGCCAAGTTAAGGCGCTACTACAATTGTCTCATAATGTTCCTAAAAGGTAACCAATGTAACAGCATTGGTATGACTTTAAACACAAACGGGGCCGAAAAACGACTTCTTCCCCCAGCAATTACATGCACGTTTATGTGTTTTCAAACATGCAACGCTCTTGCTACGACTCTTTTCAATAACAGGAGGCGCCTAATTCGTACTAATACACACAGTAGTTGTGTCAATTAAAATGGAAAAGCTTCCTTAATAAAGCACAGGAAAAAAAATGTTTCCACGAGGTTTTAACCCGCAACTTTCACGCCGCGACGACAAGTACTGGCGCTCTTGCTTCTCGACTAAAGCAGAAGGCTTAGGTCTCCGCTGCTGGCGCGGAGGTAAAAATATACTGCCACCACTTTTATCACGCGAGATCTTTCCTTTATTTTGGTTAATACTAACCTGTCCTGGCCATAACTTTATATGCCGCTCCTAAAGTATAAAGGGGTGGTTAATTGGACTCCAGTTAAAAGCATCGGCAATCATGCAGTTTCTGCGTGCGAAATTAGAATTTTTGTACTCGAAGCGGCACGGATTATTCCGCCATTAGGCAGGGACGCTAGGTACTTCTTGTCCCTATAGAGTTGGTCACGTGACATCAAAATCCCTTATGGCCGCAGCCGCGGCCGCGGCCGCAAATTGAGCAAACCGCCCCTGGGCGTCGTGACTTCCGTTGCCAGCTAGATCGTGTCGTAGCATGGCGTGAAGCATCGTGATCACCTTGTCACCATGCCCCAGATGGAATTGTGGAACATAAGTTGTCTCTTGAGCCACGGCGTTGTAGGCGGAAGAGACATAATGCAGAACCTCGGGCCATGTCTTGTGTTACATGTCGACGTTCATCGACACCATGTCGGCGATGGTCTTCTTAAGGCGTTCCGTCAGCCTATTAGTATGACGATGGCAAGCTGTGGTTCGCCAGTGGTTGGTGTGACGAGACGGAGG